CAGGACATGGATATCGATTGGCTTCGGATGTGTCCACGGATTCGCCAATTGGAGTCAAAAGTGGATCTAATATTCAGTAACTTTGTATTAGAATATATGGCAAACAAATGGCTAGTAATGGACACATTTGGCCACTTGTTAGCCACGGGCGGCGTATTTCACGCCAATATATTTATATTACCCGATTTGAATAAAAAACTACCCGAAAACGGTCAGAAAAAATGGTGGTATCAATCGCGGGAAAAACAATTAGACGATTGGCGTCAGAGTCTAACGGATAATCAGTTTCTGATTAAACAGTTTGAGACCATAGATGTCTGTTGGCCTACGGATAGACAGAAAATGATTGGTATTTAGTATTTAATACTATTTAATAGTATTTTATTTAATAGATAAATAAATAGATAAATAAATAGATAAATAAATAGATAAATAAATAGATAAATAAATAGATAAATAAATAGATAAATAAATAGATAAATAAATAGATAAAATATATTTATATTTAAATTATAATTATTATTATTAATATAATAATTTAATTATAATTAATAGATTATATGCCGATTATTATATCGAAATTTCGTTCATTTTTCCAATCCATGGATGACTTTAATGCTGAACTAAACGATCACTTATGGGATACAGTATTTGACTCTACCGTCAATCCAACCGATTCCGAGCCCAACCCCAGGGCTTGGAAACAGTTTTTGGCCGACAATACTATTACTGAAGTCAACCGATATCCTCAACTGCTTAGAGTAACAGCTGTTAAATACAATTAAACAATATTATTAAAAAAAATTAATAGTAAATTAATTTTTAAAAAAACAAATTAAAATTAATTAATTTACAAAAAACAAATAAAAATTAATTAATTTTAAAAAACAAACTAAAATTAATTAATTTAAAAAAACAAATTAAAATTAATTAATTTAAAAAAATAAAAATTAATAATTAATTAATTTACAAAAAACAAATTAAAATTAACTATATATTATTATTATAAATAGTTTTATTTTAATTTATAATTATTGCTATATAAGTTTAATAGTTTTTTTAGCTTAATGTATAGTTAAAATTTTAATATAATTTATATATTGTTTTTTTTATAAAATTTTAATAAATATATAATTATTTTTAGTTTATCAAAAATTATATATGATTAAAAAAATTCAATAAAATATTTACTAAATTTTTTATTATTTATCAATATATATTTATATATTTATTTAATTTTAATTTAAACATAAATATTATTTAATTAATTGATGGGATTTTTACACAATTACATTCAGTTATTACATTCAACAAAAAAAACAAATTGTTGTAATTTCCCACTAATTATATTTGTAAATAAATATAGTATTTCGTTATTTAAAAAAAACAAATTTTCAAAAAATTAATTGCATTTAACAATAGTTTATTTTCCATTAATAGCTTGTACAATTGATTATCAATAATAATAATAATAATAATAATAAAATTATTATTATTATAACTACATATACATTGTTTACTAGTAATTACTTATATATACTGTATATAAATTATTAAGTACATTGTAGCAATTAAATTATAATAGCAATTGATTATTATTATTTTATATAAATATGTGATAATAAAATAGACAAATTATTAATTGAAAATTTACAGTAATTTTTCATCGATAAAATTTTCACCATATTATCAGTTATTTAATGTATTTTTTTCAAAAGACAATAAGGAAATCCTTTTAGAAATTTACTCGAAAACTTCTAAACTATTGTATGTTTCACTATTATATTACTATTATGTATATTTAAAAATAAAATTAAAAAAATAGATGTCAACGTTACAGGAGATGATTATTATAATTACTAACATATTATTATTATATATTAATAAATATTATTATTATTATATATTAATAAATATTATTATTATTATTATTATTATTATTATTATTATTATTATTTCTAATTATAAGCAGTTTTTGAACTTCAAATAAAAATGACATCAAATTTCTCTAGAAATTCAATGGAAAAAATGTAATCAAATGTAGAGAAAAAAAATAAAATATATATTTTTGCAAAAGTTTGCTATTTTTGTCGTTTCCTTTTTATTTTATTACTTTATATTATATATTAAACTATAATAAATCATTTACTATTGGTATTAATATTTTCAAGCAAAAAACTTTATTAAAACTTAGTTTTGTATTATTATTATTATTTTATTTAGACAAACATTTTTATCATTCAAACATTCATTTCATAGTCAATCCCCTATTAGTTTATATATAAATATTAATAAATAAATTTAATAATATTATTATTTTAATAATTTATTAAATTAATATATTCAACAAAATTTAATTAGATTTGTGTCAAATAAAAATTTAATTAACAATTTATATAACAATAAAAAAAACTAACTAATAATAATAATAATAATAATAATGATAAAAATATCAATCAATTTACAGATATTATTATTGACAATTGTATTATATTTTATTGTATCATTAAATTTTGTTTCAACATTTTGTAAGTTTATTTTTTTTAATTCAATAATATTTTATTTAAAAAAATATTTAATTCATTTTATTATAAATATTTAATTTAATTATTATAAATATTTAATTTCATTATTATAAATATTTAATTTCATTATTATAAATATATTTATTTAAAGATTATCCACAACATCACCATTCAATACCTATCCAACAAAAAACATGTGAATACTTTAAAAATGGTTATGTCTATCGCGGTCCATGTAATCACACATTTATATATAAAAAAAAATTATTTATAAATACTAATAATAATTATTATTATTACTATAAAACTAATTGATTTTTTTAGGCAAACAAAGCTCATATACCTATGGCAGTGGTAGTTATCATCGTAAAAGACCCATACATGTTAACAGTATAGATGATAATAATAATAATAATAATAATATTTTATATGTATATATAAATTTTAATATAATTTTTTGTTGTTGTTTTAAAAACCCAGAGCACAAACACCAACAACAACACAAACAACAACAACAACATGTAGACAACGATTACAGTACTCCCTGTACTACTGTCGATGGTTTGGCCGGTCTGTGTCGGCCACCGGCCTATTGTTTCAGTCAATACGACACTATTGAACAGTATTTGGAAAATCAATGCAAACTCAATGGTCAGGGTTTGCCGCCCGGTATTTGTTGTCCGAAAGAGGTTGTCCGCGAACCGGCCGTTCAATTAAGTAAACAATTACTACTACTACTGTTTCATTCAATCAATCAATTAATTAATAAATTTTTAAAAAAATACTTTTTATACATACAGTTCCCATCAGAATCCCGATACCAGTCGAACCGGTCGAACCGCTAGACATTGACCAGCAATCGGTTGCCGAAGCGGCCGACGAAAGCCGAAAGATAATCAAAAATCAGGTGGCAATCGAAAGGGAACTCATAGGAGCCGGTAGTTTCCAATTATTATTATTATATTATCAGTAATTTATTGCTTAACCGGTGTGTTGTGTTATTTTTTGGGTGGTGGGGTGTGTTTGGGGGGGGGATTGGTAGGCTTTTTCCAACGTACCAATACTATGGAATCCTATCATCAGGCCTTTTTCGGACCGGACGATCCCGAAATACAAAAGATACAATTGGACGGATTGGTAGCATTGGAGACGACCTTACAGTTAGCTAAAAAGTATGCCATTTTTAAGGACTGTACTGTATATATAAGCTTATAATAAACACTATTCAAACACACCCACCCATCCAAACAACCACACACTTAGGTATGAGTTGACACCACAACAGGCTCGCGATGGCCTACAAAAGTATTCCCTGGCCGATACATCCCAGTCATCCCACTGTCTAAAAACACCGATTTGCGACCGACTGGCCAAATACAGGACATACGATGGCAGTTGCAATAATCTCCGATATCCACTATGGGCTAAATCGTTGACCCAATTTATTAGGTTAGTACCGCCTGCCTATGCCGATGGTCTCAACGAGCTTCGGGTATCAGTCGATGGCGGACCGTTACCGTCGCCCCGGGAGGTGTCATGTAAAGTATGTTTTTTGTTTTGTTTAAAATATATACATTTGTTATTCAAATATTTATTTTTTAAAAAAAATTAAATACAAATATTTAGTTGGCTCTAGACTTTGATATACCTGATCGTAAATTTTCGCTATTAGTCATGCAATGGGGACAGGTATGTGATTTTTGTGATTATTATGACTTTTTGTATATTAATATTATGTAAATTTTTTGTTTGTATATACAGATTATTGATCACGACTTGACATTAACTGCATCGACACGTGGTATAGATTTTGTTGTTTTTTATACTGTATTTCAAAAAAAAATCTATTAATTATATGATACGCTTATGTATGTGTGTGTGTTTTTTTATGGTGGGCACCGGTATCTTCCTATATTAAAAAATAGCGACAACCGGTGAAGGTTTGCACTGTTGCAACGAGGATGCCACCCGTCAGGTCAGGATTAAACATCCGGCCTGTAAGCCGATTATCATACCCCGTAACGACCCGTTTTATAGCCGACACAAACATTTTTGCAATAATTTTGTCCGCAACGCTGCCGGTCCTAAATATGACTGCAATTTAGGTAAATATGTTTAAAAATTTTGTTTCACTTATTTTTTTGTTGTGGTTAAAAAATTCAAATACAATGATTTAATGTGTGTGTGTGTGTGTGTGTGCTTGTATGTGTGTGTTTGTGTGTGTGTGTGTGTGTGTGTGTGTGTGTGTGTGTGTGTATGTGTGTGTGTGTGTGTGTGTTAATTAACTAAATTGTAAATTAATTAATTAATTAGATTTAAATAATTTTTTTATTGTTGTTTAGGTTATAGAGAGCAGATAAACACATTAACCCATATAATAGATGGTTCAATGGTATACATAATTAAATTACAATATTTATAAAAATAATTACTAAATCATTATTATTATTATTATTATTATTATATATATATATATATAAATGTTTTTAAATATTTAAATAATTTTATAATCATTTTAAATAATTACTACAAAACAACAACAAACTAAATAGGTTTATGGCTCTACTGAGGAACGGGCTAAACATTTACGGTCATTCAAAAATGGTAATAATAATAATAATATTATTATTAATAAATTTAATTATCATCTATTTTTTGTATATTAATAATGCTTATATTATTATTAATAATAATAACAATAATAATGGGATTTTAATTTTTTTTAATAATAATTAATTAATTTTTATTTTTTGGTTATTAAAAGGCAAACTACGGGTCGACAAAGTCAATGGCTACGAGTTTTTACCGTTTGACACACAAAACCGGTCGGACGAGTGCGCAATACCGGCCAATCTTCAACGTCAACGCAATTATCATTGTTTTGTCGGAGGTTTGTTGTAATAATAAAAATTAACATACCTTTCCTACATATGATAGATATTTTTTGTTTGTTTTTTGAATCAACAAAAAAATTGTTATTATTATTCATATATTTTTTTTATTTATTGATTTTTTTTTGTTTTTTAAAGGTGACGTTAGAGTCAATGAACAAACTGGGCTAACAATGTTGCACAATGTGTTGCTCAGGTATGTCATACCCACAAAAAAATTAATTAATTAATTAAAAAGTTTCACAAAAGTTTTATATTAAATTATATATATTTTTTTTAGAATATTTGTATTAATAATAATATATTGTATAAATTTGATAATAATATTTTTTTTTTTAAATATTATTATACATAAATTTATGTAAATATTTTTTTTAATACATTTTTAATTAGTACAGTATTTTTTTAAAAACTGTAATTTATTAATAACACACAATTAAACTGATTAGAAATTATTTTTATAAATCTACTTTAGTAGCAATCTTAAACCCTTGTTTATAATTATAGTTTTTTTTGTTAATTATTTTTTTTAATTAAAATATTTTTTTATAAAAATATTATTAAAAAATATATATCCATTTATTCAACAACAAAAAAATTTAATTAAGATATAAAATGTTTAAATATTAAACAAAAATTTTAGTTTAATTGAGACTGAAAATTTTTTATTAAATTAACAACAAATAACTAACTTTTTAAAATTATTTATCACACAAAAAAATAATAACTAATTAATAACATAATTAATTAATGTTATTAGAAAAAAATAATTAAACAAATAATTAACTAATAAATTATTTGTATAATATATATATATTGATATATAGAGAGCATAACCGTATCGCTACAGTACTCGAGGAGTTAAATCCCGGTAACTATTGATTTTAAATTAAATTAGTAAAATTAAAATTAAATTATAAAAAAAATTGAAATTAATTTAATTAAAAATTTTTAATAAAAAAAACCTATGGATAGACTGGACAGACGAAATAGTATACCAGGAAAGTAGGCGTATATTAGCCGCCGAAATACAGGTTATTACTTATAATGAATGGATGCCACTTATAATAGGTATGTCCACCACAACCACCCGCACCCCCACCCTATGCTATATAGTACTTAACTATAACTTTATAAATATATTATTTACAATAATTATTACTAAACTAAAAAAAAAACTAATTTTGTTACTAATATTTAAAATAATTTACTACCAAATCCTATACCTATAGGTAGGCGAGTCATGAAAGAGTTTAATCTATTACCCAAACCGGACGGTTATACCTATGATTATGACGATGGCCTGAATCCGGGTATATTCAATGAGTTTGCAACGGCTGTCTACAGGTTTCATACGTTGATACAGGTGCTCAAGTCAAGTCAAATCAAAATAAAAAATCATATATATATATATATATTTATTTTTTAAATACCGCATATTTTATTATACAGGGTCTACTAAGATTGTTGAACAATGCCGGCAAAGTTACCCAAACCATACAACTGAGACAACATTTCAATAATCCTTCATCACTGTATAGAAAGGGAGCCTACGATGAGTTTATCAACGGCTATACGGGAAACCCGACCCAAACATTTGACCAATTTTTTACCGAAGATGTTTGTATTTTGTTTTATTTTTTTTATACCGGAAAACAAACGGGAAAATAATAATTAATTTTTTTAATTATTATTTTTAATTATATATTAATAGATAGTTAACCACTTGTTTCAAGAACACGATTCCAAGTTTGGCATGGATTTGATTGCATTGAACATTCAACGAGGTTTGATTGTATATCGCATTGTTTTTTGTTTGTCTAAATTATATGATGATAATAATAATAATAGGTAGAGATCATGGACTACCCGGCTATAATGATTTCCGTGAGGTGTGCGGTATGCCTCGTATCGATAGTTTCAAACACTTGGATAAAGTTATGCGCCGCGGATCGGCTGAGATCATGGCCTCAATCTATAGGTAGGTGCTGTGTGTGTGTATGTGTGTGTGTGTGTGTGTGTGTGCTATGTGTGTGGGTATGTGCTATGTATGTGTATGTGCTATGTGTGTGTGTATGTGCTATATATGTGTATGTGCTATGTGTGTGTGTGTGTGTGCTATGTGTGTGTGTGTGCTATGTATGTGTATGTGCTATTTGTGTGTATGTGCTGTGTGTGTGTGTGTATGTATGTATGTATGTGCTGTGTGTATGTATGTGCTGTGTGTATGTATGTATATATGTATGGGGCCTCGGTGGCCGAAAGGCTAAGTTGTCGGCTTTCGAGTACGACAACCCGAGATCGATACCCGGACGGGCCACCTAAGTTTGTTGGGATTTTTAACGCGAGGAAACAGATAATATGTGTACGAAGAACTGTCCGCATATATAATGCTGTCCTATCGTTAATAGGGGTACTCCTCTAACTACTGCACTCTCGGCGGTTATGAGTGCTATACACAGTATAACCAACAATACTGGAGAGAAACATAGTTTAAGGGTTCTCAAAACCCCGTGCATTGCAATCATTTTAAAAACGGGGGATATAAATCCTGGATATTGTATGTATATATGTGCTGTGTGTGTGTGTGTGTGTGTGTGTGTGTGTGTGTGTGTGTGTGTGTGTGTATGTGCTGTCTGTGTGTGTATCTGTTTAAAAATAAATTATTGCAATCAAATATGAAAACCAATCTAAAATTTTACTGTCAACGTGTCACCCATCCACCCACCCCTCACCCCCATCCCACTGTAGACATGTAGACGACATAGATCTGTTTATAGCCGGCAATCATGAGAAGCCATTGCCCGATGCAGTAGTTGGTCCAACATTTGCCTGTATATTAGCTGAACAAGCTAGGAGAAATAAAGGTAAAATTATTATTATTATTATTATTATTTATGTTACAGTTATTATAATCGCATTGTATAATATAAATGTGAAATAACTAATTAGCTATACTGTATAATAGAGTGTATTATATAAAAATTTGGATAAATTAATAAATTTTTAACACAATATATATATAATAACAAATTTATTATAAAAGTAATTATTATTATTATAATAATAATATTATATATAATATATAATATAATATTAAAACTGATAATATTTTCTGTCAATTTTTTTTTAAATATCTTTATTATTATTATTATTATTATTATTGTCTATTTATTTATAATAATTTATGTATTTGCTAAAAAATAATTAATTAATATTAATAATTACTTTTATTTTATTTTTTTTTTAAAAATTAGTTGGCGATAGGTTTTGGTTTGAAAACGGAAAAATGAAAAACTCATTTACTATTGGTTTGTTTATTGATATTTTTTGTTTGGTCTTAAATTTTTGAAAATAAATTATTATTACATAATTTTTTTTACTAATTTTTTTTTTGTCAGCCCAATTAAATGAGCTACGTAAATCTAGTTTGGCGGCACTGGTATGCGATAATAGCTATCATATTGAAAAAATGCAAACATTAGCTTTTTTACAACCGCTTGACTGGTAATTTTAATTAAAAAAAATTTTAGATTTTTTTTTACAAAAAAAATATACATTATTTTACAAAAAATATACATTATTTTACAAAAAAATAATAATTTTACATAATTATCTAGAAAATTATTTATTAAATTATTAAAAGAGTTATTTTTTGTTGTTGTAAAATTTGTGTTTATTTTAATATAATTGAATTAATTATTTATTTTTTTATTTTTATTTTAAAGGAACCCTCGAATTGATTGTTCAAAAATAACACGGGTCAATTTGAAATTATGGAAAAATGAGAAAATTTATTAAGTTTTTTATTTTAAAATTAATAAAAATAATTTAAATTGACGAAAACCAAAGATTGAAACCAAAATTATTATTTTTTATAAAAATTGTTTTTATATTTAAATATAATATTTTTAAAAATTTCAACATTTCATTTGTATTTAATAATTTTTTTTTGTTGAAAAATATTGATTAAAATATGAATTAAACAAATAAACAAAAATTATTATTATATTCACAAATTAAAAAAAATAGATTAATAATATAATAATTAAATATAAATATTATTATTTATTTTTTTATTTTGAAATAATAGTAATCATAAATTAAAAAGTTTAAAAAAATAAGCATTTTGTGTTGCAATTATTGCATAACTAATTGCTAATTTAATTTTAATAGCTATTGCATATCAATATTAAATACTGTATATATATATACAGTATATATTAAATATTATAGATAACAGTGCAAAAAATATCAGTACAATTTAATATTAAACAAAATAATCATAATACTAAAGTAATATAATATATTTATAATATAGAGTTATAGTTATATAAAGTAATATACGATTAAATATATAAAATTTCAATAACAAAAAAAACCAGATATAACTAGTAATAGAAAATAAATTGTTTTTAAAACAAATTGCATACACATCTAGCATATGATTTTTATTTTACTAGTATAACATTGTTTTATTTTTATAAATATATAAATTTATTATAATATACTGTATTGTTAGACTGTAATGTACTGTAAATAATAAATTTCAGCTGATTTTTATAAATTTTTTATATCATATATTTATAATACAGTATATATACTGTATATACTGTATAAATACTTTTGACACTACTTTATATCATGAATTTGTTATATAAAGTATATGTTTTATAACCATATAATTTTTTTTTAACTTTTTTTTATAATACCTATAGTAAATAAATTTATTGCTGTTAATTGCATTGTTAATTATTAATTAATTACTAAGGGTTTTTTAAAAAATGCACCTGTATGATTTTGTATAAATAGTTTATATATATATATTGTGTGTGTGTGTGTGTGTGTGTGTGTGTGTGTGTGTGTGTGTGTGTGTGTGTGTGTGTATGTGTGTGAGTGAGTGAGTGTGTGTGTGTGTGTGTGTGTGTGTGTGTGTGTGTGTGTGTGTGTGTATGTGTGTGAGTGAGTGAGTGAGTGTGTGTGTGTGTGTGTGTGTGTGTATGTGACACATAAATATAAAAATCACACACACTTTGTATGACAACAACAATACCTGTAAAAACTACTTTTTTTATTATTGATATTTCGCATAGAATTATAGAAGTATAAAAAAATTAAATAATAATAATAAAAATAATAGTTGAGCAAACTTTTAGTCTAAAAAAAATATTTTTTAATAACTAAATTAGATATGATTTTAAGATTTTAAAATATGATATAAAAAAATTATAAAATAATATATATATATATATATATATATATATATATAACTAATAAAAAGATTTTATCTCAATCACATAATACATAGGTATTTAATAATATAAGTATATAAATAGTGCAAATCATAACAACAACAAAATTAAATAATTATTTAAACTAATTAAAGTTAATATTATAATAATTATTGTTAAAATTGTAAAAATAAATATTTTTTTGTTTCAAAATATTATATATAAATTTTGTAAAATAAAAATACTGTTAAATAATCAACTAATTATTTGGTCATTTAATAATGATGAATAATATAATAAAAATTAATTGCAATAAATTATTATTAAATTGGCATAAATACTATTATTCATTGTATATAATATTTACAACAGTAGTCTATGTAAGTAAATAATAATAATAATAATTTTTTTAATACATATTATCTATTAAATTAAATTTTTTTAAAAATAATAATTAAATTGACATAATTTTCTAATAATTATAATCTAAATTTATATTTATTTATTTTTTTTTGATAAAAAATATGTTTAGGGTATAGTATTTTCGGTATTTCCAAACATATTGGTAGACATGAAGTATATATTAAATACAACTACAGCTCAGATATCACTTTATGCCACATTTGAAACGGGAGGCTATATTCTGGGAACTTTCGGTAAATTATTAATATATATATATATTTAATATATATAATATATATATATATATATATATATATATATATATATATATATAGTAATAATTATTATTATTATGTTTAAAAATTAACTAAACAAAATCAATACAATGATAATGAAAAAATATATTTATAAAGACTAATTATAAAAAATTAATATTTTTTTTAAAAAATCTATTAATACTAGCTATAAATAAATATTTTTTTTAAATCTATTAACACTAGCTATAAATAAATATTATTATTTTTTAAATCTATTAATACTAGCTATAATTTTAAAAAATTATTATTTTTTAATAAAAAACTATTATTATTATTATTTATTACCCAGTTGGTCTACTATATAAATATTTAAATCGACAATTGACCATGGCCATTACCTACATAATGTTGACACTGTCGGTAGCCTGTATACCAGTACTACCTAATCTGGCCCTACTATATACCTGTGCAGCTTTGTTTGGTTTCGGATCGGCTGTATTTGTTTGTGCATTTCCTATTTGGCTGATGGAAATGTGGAACAGTAGGGCCCGCCAGTGGCTACAAGTCAATGACTGTTCATTCGGGATCGGCTCAATCATGACAACTATTATATTGAAACCGTTTTTGGTGGGCGAACTGGCCGACAACAATATTAACAACAGCCCAGACCAAGTGGTTTCTGGTGCCGATCGACAATCTAGACTTTGGCTACCAGTGCTCATCATTTGTTTAGCAATATTGCCCAGTAAGTGTGTGTCTGTATGTGTGTGTATATCTATGTTTGTGTGTGTGTGTGTGTGTGTGTGTATCTATGTGTGTGTGTGTGCGTGTATTTGTGTATGTATGTACTGTATCTATGTGTTTATGTATGTGTATGTTTGTATATATATATATATACTGTATTTATATATTTTTATGTTTATAGCTATGTGTATGCATATGTGTATGTATGTGTATGTGTGTGTATGTGTGTGTATGTGTGTGTATGTGTGTGTATGTGTGTGTATGTGTGTGTATGTGTGTGTATGTGTGTGTATGTGTGTGTATGTGTGTGTATGTGTGTGTATGTGTGTGTATGTGTGTGTATGTGTGTGTATGTGTGTGTATGTGTGTGTATGTGTGTGTATGTGTGTGTATGTGTGTGTATGTGTGTGTATGTGTGTGTATGTGTGTGTATGTGTGTGTGTGTGTGTGTATGTGTGTGTATGTGTGTGTATGTGTGTGTATGTGTGTGTATGTGTGTGTATTTGTGTGTATTTGTGTGTATTTTAGTGCTAATGTATTTGTTTTGCCAAACTAACTAACAGTTCCCATATCATCGGTGGTCATGTATTTTGTACGGCCATATCGGGCACAGGACTATCAAACACTGGTTACATCAAAAGATATTAATAACGATAAGGAGGAGGAGGACAACATCAGAAAGTCATCGCAAACTGCTGAGGACAGTAGTCTTGATATACCAGACACTACTACTACTACTACTACTACCACAACTACACCAACAACAATCAAACTGTTTGACCGGCCAGAAACTCCCCGGCCAACCATTATCATAATATTTGCCCTTTGGTTTACCATTTATTCAATATTTGAGACAATGTTCCTGAAGTTTGCCGTAACCTACTATCAGTATTCACCCAAACATCTATCGGCACCGGCAGCTGCCGAAATTCAATGGATATCTACGGCTGTCTATACAACTTTTCGCGGTCTCAATGCTTTCATTGGACTAAAAGTATCCGTCTATTGGATGCTATGCTATCATTATGTATTGCTGGCTATCGGTTCAGTTATGTTTTTAGTTAGCCTATACTATACGGCCATCAACAACGATAGTCTACTATGGGCGGCCAGTTTGATTATCTATTGGGGATTTTCGGCCATGTTTTCCGGTATACTAGCCTACGCTCAACAGTATATGACCCTAACCGATAGGACTAGTACGGTGTTTGTTATGTTTAGGGGAGTGTTGACTTTGGCCACCAACTATGTAATGGGTGTATACATTGAAAATTATTCACCTATATTTTTGTTTATCAATTTTATCTATTTGATTGTGTCGATTTTATTGTTTTTATTAATTTTAGTATTAATCAAATACTATACTAGAAAATTAGTAATTAATAATAATGATAAAAAGTTAGCATGTTAAATTTTAAATAATTAGTTAAATTATTATTAGTTATTAATTGCATTGTTTTTTATTAATATACAGTAGTATTTATTATATTAATAAATTACTGTATATTTATTATGTAATTTACTGGTACTTTACATACTGTACTTATTTTAGCAATAAATTTTAAAAAAAAATTTAAAAAAAAATAAGTTTAAAGTTTTAAATTATTTGTTTCCTATTTTCTATTTTTTTTGTATCACTATTTTTAAACTGACTGAAATTATACATGAATTTATGTTATTATTATTATTATTTTTTATATTAATTGAGATTAACAATACAACAAAAAAATTTAGCAATTAATAAAAATTTATTATTATTATTATTATTTACAGTGTATAATAACCTGTATTAATTCAATTCAATTTTATTTAGACAGTACTGTATTCAGTTATGCAACTGGTATTCTTACAGTACTGTTTTTAAAATTAAATATACATAAACAAGTAATTACAAGTAAAAATATAATTAATAATAATATAAATATGCTATAATTTAAAAAATAAATAAGTTTATAAAAATTTTAACTAAATAATAAAATAGGATAATAAAAGTTTTTTAAAAATCTTTAAGTCTTTTGCTTCTCGTATTTTTAAATCGATTTCATTCCACAATTTAATACCATTAAAAAATATAGTATTTTGAGTGTAATTATATTTAGGTGTCGACAAAATTAAAGATTTATTAGACTTAGATCTGATATTTCTTGATGTTTGATATGTAAAAAATTTTTGTATACATCCAAAACCATTAATGTTTTTATAAATAAAAATATATATTTCTTTTTTCCAAATGTCATCAAACGATAACCACTTTAATTGTTTTAATAATTGTTGAGAGTTTACTGTATAATCCGAAAATGTCACAATTTTGGCAAAAATATTTTGTAAAGTTTTTAAATGTTTAATATGTTTTTCATATGAAAAACTCCATAATACTGACCCATAAGTTATTGTAGGTATAATCATAACCTTATATAATAATTTTAATACATTTATCGGTATATAATTTCTAATAATATAAAAAATATTTTTATATTTTAATAGTTTTTTGTTAACATTATTAATATGATATTTATAAGAAAGATTTGAATCAAAAGTTATTCCCAATATTTTTAATTTATTTGTAGGTAAAACTTGATTTCCATTATAAAATAAATTTAAAGTTTTATCTCTACTTCCAATTAAAATAAATGAAGATTTTAAAACATTTAAAATAATTTGATTGTTATTAAAATAATTATGAAGTTTAATCAAACTATTATTCACTTTATTATTTAAACTGTCAATTGTTTTATCAGCGAAAATAATTGTTAAGTCATCAGCAAACCCAACAATTTTACCATTAGTTATCAACTTAAAAATATCATTAATAAAAATTTGAAATAAAACTGGTCCGCATACACTACCTTGGACAATTGACCTATCACCAAGGTTATTATATTCACTAAATAATTTTTTATATTTTACACGTTGTTTACGATTTGATAAAAAGGATTGAAATAAAGGTAAAACATTTTTAAGACCACAATTATTTAACTTTTCATAAAGTATATCATGTTTTACTAAATCAAATCCACGTTTTAGATCTAATGCTAAAACACAAACGTATTTATTATTATCTCGTTGTTTGACAATATCTTTTGTAATATCAATGAGTGCATCAATTGTTGAATGTTTTTCCCTAAAACCATATTGAGATTCTGATAATATATTATTACTCAATAGAAAACTTTTAATTTGTTTAATAATATATTTTTCAAAAATTTTACTTAAAATCGGTAAAACAGAAACAGGTCTATAATTATTTGTATCATCAATAGATCCATTTTTAAATATAGGATAAATATCCGCACATTTCCATATATCAGGAAAAATGTTATATTTTATTATCATATTAAACATTGTTACTAAATGTGGTAATATTACACGGGAACACAATTTTAACATTTTCCCACTAATTTTATCACTACCTGTAGATTTTTTAACATTTATTTTATTTATTAAAACTGACAATTCATCACTATTAATAGATTTAATATTTAATAAATTATTATTAATTGTATCAGTAGTTACAACTATATCATTGTTATCGTCATTAAATTTATTTGTTAAACTGTATATTGAATTAATAAAATTATCATTTAATAATTTAGCATTTAAATTTTCACTTATTTTATTCGCTTTTTTATTATTTCCTATTACTTTATTTATAATTTTCCACAATTTATTACTATTGCTTTTATTTTTATTTATTAAATTATAATAATAATTTTTTTTAGCATTTTTGATAGCATTGTTGCACTTATTTTTTAAAATTTTATAATTATATTTTAAAATTTCAAGATTTTGGTTATTATTATTATTATAACATTTATGCATATCATTGAAAGCTTTATGTTTTTCTTTAATTAATTGTTTTATTTCACTATTTATATAACTTTTATTAAAATTTTTTAAAGTTTTTTGTTTAATAGGAGCAAACAAATCAAACGCATTATTTATAGTATCAGTTAATTTATTTGCAAATGTGTTAACATTATAGTCATTACTGTTATAAAGTGTAGTTAAGTTGTCGTCTAAATGTTTTTCAAAATCAATATCATTAATATTAGAAAAGTCACGAAAACTTTTAACACATTTATCTTTTTTTGTATTTTTAGTCAAATAATTTAACTTTCTTGAAAAAAATATCCATTTATGATCACTTATATCAATATTTAATACACCACTTCCACTATAATTATTCAAATCATTATAATATATATGATCTATAAGTTTACTAGTATTTACAGTACATCTAGTATTTTCTGTTATTAGCTGTTTATAACATTTTGATTCATAAATTTTAATATAATTTCTATTTTTATTATCATTTAAGTCAATGTTTAAATCTCCGCTAATAACAGTCTCTGATTCAAAGTCACTAAAAATTTTTTCAAATTTTTCCATAAAATTTGACTCACAATTTGGAGGTCTATATATGACCCCAACATTGAACGGGCGGCCAACACGTGGCTTAACGTTGACCACCAAAAACTCAAGATCTGTGTCATATTGGACCAGATTTGATGTCAATTTTTCACAATTTACATACAATGCTACACCACCTCCTTGTTTGCCATTTTGTCTGTCTTTTCGATAAAGTGTGTATCCATTTATGTGTATGAATGTGTCATCAATATCACTGGTTAGCCAGGTTTCGGTTAGACATATAATATCGGGTTTTAATATACTAATATATATTTGAAATTCACAAAATTTATTGAATAGTCTATTAATATTTACATGAATTAATTTTAACCCTTTACACTTTTTATAATTTTTAAGTACATTTTCACTTAACACAGTCATAACCAACCAGTTTTCTTCAACTTCAACAATGCTACAACAAATATGCCAATTATTTGTCACTATAGACTATAGTGGCCAAGTAGATGACAATTAATGATAATAATAAATGAATAATAATGTACTAATATTTTGTTGATGTATAAAATAAGTTATATTAAAGTATAATATAGTATTTGTGTGGAAAATTTTGATTGTTTTTTTTAAATATCATTTTTTTAAAAAAAAAATAAAAATTCCACTTTTAAACACTAGTGTATTAAAAAAATATACTATTAATAAACAATAATATGATATAAACATGCTAATGTATAAATGCATATATAAATTTACATTTTATTATAGTTATATATTTGATATATTTTTTAAAAAAATAATATTAAAAATAAACAAAAACATTAATAAATTGAAAACAACAACATTATTAGCTAATATAACTGTTAAAGTATAATATTTAGTAATAACTAGTAATATCTAGTATATACATACAATTATATACTAATAATAGTAATAACTAATAAGTTTTTTATTACTAATTTTAAAAAAAAAATTATAATTATAGTTTATAAATACCATCTATAACAAAATTGTGTAAAACAATACCCAAAAAATAATAAAAATAAAAAAACAAAATAAATTATAATAGATCCAGAACAATTACACAAAAATATATAATTCCTGGAAATATTATACTTGGAAAATTTATTGTGTAATTTGCATATAAAATACAAAATTGTAACAAAAAAAAATTTTTGTTTGTCATATCTATTTGATATGTTTATGTTAAATATGTATTTAATAATCACATTTAAAGTTAAATTTAATGTGATTTTTAACATTTTTAAAAAAGGCTTTTCCCAATAAAATTTTTTATTGTTTTAATACAATTATTATATTAAATAAAAAATATTTAAATGATGTGTCATTTAATATGATATTTTATTTTAAACATTTTTAATTATTATTATTATTATTACCTAAACTAATGATCATCGATTAAATTACTTAAAATATTAGCCAATTTTTATTTTTAAAAAAATGTTTAATTATAATCACATGTTTTTCGCATGGTTTTCAAAATAAAATTATAATTTTCAAAAAAAATGTTTATATAAACAATATTTTTTTTTAGTTCAATCACTATTAGAAATACAAATGATATAAAAGTTGCTGAAAAAAAGTTTTAAAACTATATTATATTATTTTAAATTAGTTTAAAGAGACTAAAAGTTACTAAAAAGTCTAAAATAGTTTTTAAATAATTTTTAAATAATTTTTTTTTATCTAAAATAACTGAAAATTATTAAACTATATAACTATTTCATTAAAAATAATTTAATTAAAAATAATAAAATACGTTTAAATTTTTAGAAAAATAAAATTAAATGCAAAATAAAAGTAAGTAAATTATTTTTTTTTTTTTCCTATTAAATATTGGTTTTTTTAATTAATATAAAATTAGTTTATAATAAAGTTTAGCAATTATTTATTAAAAATAAATATTTTTAAAATGTTTGAATAGTGACTAATAATATGGATGAGAAACGGGAGCGTCAATACCCGGTACCCGAATTTCGGACAATATTTCCGATACAATGTAATCCGTTTAACGAGGACAGCAAACGTACGGCCGAACTAACCAAATGGTGGTCAGAGTATGCACTGTTGCCGGCCGACATCTACCAGCGCCGGGTGGCCGACTCGATGTTGGAGTTTGGCGCCTATTTCTATCCGCATTGTACCGATTGGAAGCGATACGCCAATCTGGTCAAATGGTTAGGCTATTTGTTTGTCTGGGATGACCACAACGAAACCCAGTACGGCGAGTTTGGCCGCAGTAGTCGTACGGCCCGGCCAGTCAGCGACCAGTATCTACAGTGTTTGGACCGATTGGAGCGTATGTTTGACATGAAAAGCGAGACAACCGATAACGATAAGTTGTCCACCACTACTGCTATCACTACTACTACTACTGCAACCGCTAACAATACCAACGGATCCGATACCGCAGCGGCAGCCGATTATATACCAATGAATACATGGAAACCGTACGTATTGTCCACTTATGTTACCGTCGAAGCCATTATGCAAGACATGACTGGTGTTCAACGCCTGAGATTCATAGACTCGTGGCGTCGGTATCTTCGGGCACAGGACTATGAGAATCGGCTTATTGAACAAAAATTTGTCGACTTTGATAGCATCAAAAAGGTATGCAATTAGCTTAATTGTGTGTGTGTGTTTGTATGTATGTATGTGTTGTATGTGTATGTATATGTGTGTGTGTGTATGTGTGTGTTTGTATGTATGTGTGTGTGTGTGTTTGTATGTGTATGTATGTATATATGTGTATGTGTGTGTGTGTATGTGTGTGTAAGTATGTTTGTGTGTGAATGTGTAAGAAAAATTTTAAAACTAAAAAAACATATTTAACTTAAACAATAGGCCCGTATGGATACCAGTGCTAACGCTACCATATTTGCACTGTTAGAATACTCGGACGGACTGTGCGTACCTGAGCGGGAATGGCTGGACCCGAGGTTCCAGCGATTGTTACATTTGGCCAATTTTGCTATTATCTATGTCAACGATGTCTATTCGTTTGAAAAGGAACTGTACGACCAAAAGGGACAGTTAGATCGGATGTTTGTCAATCTGGTAGCCTATTATATATTGGACCAGAAATGTTCAATCCGGGAGGCAATGGACAAGACTCTGGTAATCTGTCGGCAACATGAGTCCGAGTTTGACCAGTTGGCCAAATCGGTAGCCAATGATCCGTCGGTTAGCTCCGATACTAAACGCTACGTTCAAGGATTGGCCACTTTTATTTCGGGCAACTATCACATGTCTATTACATTGAATAGATATAATAATATTTATTGATAGTTGAATTATTTAGTTTATTTTTTTAAAACAATTATTAGGCAAATAATTAATTAATTTTTATCAAAATTTAATTTTTCTATATTAACTAATTTTCAATTATATATATATTAAGTATTTTTATTGTTATAAATTAATTTCAATCAAAAATTTTTCTTATATTTTAAATATATATTCTGTAGTAAATTCTTATAGTAAATAATTATATTATTTTGAAATATTTAAATTAAATAAAAAAAATATTTAAATTCAATTATTTTATTATTGCAAATCATAAACATTATTATACTATTATAATAATACCGTATATCCGGTAGGCCACTACTACTACTACTACCACTACTACTACTACTAACACTATTACTACTACTACTACTACTACCACCACTACTACCACCACTACTACCACCACTACTACCACCACTACTACCACCACTACTACTAATACTGTTAACTACAACACCAACTGTTACGATAGGGCAGTGGCGGCGACCGCCGATTATATTACCAATGAAAAGTACCAATGGAAACCCGTACGTACTGTCCATCACATGTTACATGTCGAAGCCATCTATACCAAGACATACGAATAGTGTTGTCATATATCAGGCCACAGATGATTCATCGGTTCCGTGTGGTGTCGGGGTATCTTTGTGTCGGAGGACAGGACTTATTGAAAAGTTGTCGAACTTTGATTGACATCAAAAAAAAACTTTTCATGTGTTGGCCAAATCGGTGACCAAACCAATGATCATCGGATAGCAAGGGTTGGCCACTTTTAATGGCCAGCGGCCCTCTATCAGTCATGTCAGTCAATACATTAAAATAGATATACCGGTAATAATAATAATAATAATATTTGTTAACTATTTTTTTGTTGTTGTTGTTTAGAAAAATAGTTTTAGAAAAATAATTATTTATTTAATTTTTATTAAAAATTTCAATCTAAACTAAATTGTATTTAAATTTAAACTAATTATTTATATATATATATATTTATATTTAGTATAACAATAAGTAACTAATAATTTAATAATAAATTCTAAATATGTTTAGATATAATTTTTGTTTTTTAAAAACATTATATAAATTTATAAAATTTTTAAATTTATCGATAAATATAATTACCGGTAATTTAAAAAAAAAATTAACACAATTATCATAAATATTACTGAAATAATTTCAATATATTTTTTTGTTGTGGATATGTTTTTCTCATATAATATCATATAATAATAATAATAATAATACAGTGATTATTAAAAATAATAATTAAAATATATAATAATATTTATCATTAATAATAATAATAATAACAATACCATATAATTACATGAAAATAATTGCACTTTTTTTTATAAAGGTAGAGTTGTGTACTAACCCGCCCCCCTCACACACACACACACACACACACACACACACACACACAATAAACATTTCAAGGCAATACACCTCCTCCTCCTCCCCATCCTCCTGGGAGGGGTGGGTTTAATATCAAAAATAACAATAATAATAATAATTGAGCCAAACATCAATTTTTAGACTATTTTGTTTAGTTTTTAGGCACGACTTGTTGGACCTAATCATTCAATAGATGATAATCAATAATCAGTATAACTGTGTATAACTATATATTGAGGACATACCTAAATAGCCGATACGCGGCATTTCGCACACCTCACAGTAGACCAGTGCCGGATGATTCTCGACCGTACACTTTTCGCACACCCATCGCTGGCCCTCATCCTGTGGCGGTGAAGAGGCGGCTGCGGCAGCACCGGCGGCCATCATTGGTGTACAACCACTACTAGTGCCGGCCATCGACGACGACGACGACGACATCATCGGTAGCGGAGGCGTACACGACATCATCGGCGAACCCATACGCGGCGAACAACTGCTGGGCGACGGACGTGGCGGCAACTGGGGTGGCGGCGGCGGTATTGGTCCCAACAGCATCGGTGGACGAGGCGACTGTTGAATGGTTGGCGATAGCCATACGGGCCTGGGAGCTGGCGGTACTTGACTGAGCAAATCGGATACGGGATAGGGATGCTGTTGGTGGCCAGTAGCTGATACAGGAAAACGTGGCGGCGGATAGTAAATAGACTCTTCATATGGTGGCGGTTGTTGTTGCGGTTGCATCTGCTGGCCAACGGCCATCGGGTACTGCTGTAGCGAGTGTACGGGATAGGGTAGCCGCGGGCCACCGGAAGCCATCGGCGGCTGCATTGAATGTTGACGTACGGGTGCAGGCGGTGGCTGATGCTGCTGTTGTTGTGGACGTGGCGGCGGCGGTCCGTACGGCTGTGCGGGAACATTTTTGTAAAAGTTTTCATCGGTACAGCCGAGGGGTACGCCACCCGACGCATAGATATCCACTTCCATCGACAGACAATGACATTCGATACGTAGGCCACGATTTTCATCGCGAAATTGTGTCACTTTGGCCACTGCCCAGTCGTCGTCACTACCGCTTCCACCGCCGCCATCGGATTCGGCCGATTCGTGTCGTCGACGACGCTGTTGTATCTCCAGTCGGGCCACGTCTTTGCGCAGTTGTAGCAAATGTTGACGAAGTTTATCCGTTTCGGACCGGATGTGATCCAATCGGGAGTTCTGGTGTTTCTTCAGGGCTGTCGGTGTCGGTCGTAGTGGTAGTGGTAATGAAGTGAACGGAAGAAGTAGATCCAGAAATTAGTTAGCGATTAGTCATATATAAGATATCATATAATAATACAAACCCTCGACGTATGACAGCTCTTGCGATCGGCTCATCACATGTGTTGGTGTTGTTGTTGTTGTTGAAGACATTGTTGTTGTTGTTGTTGTTGTTGTCGATGAAGAGGTTAAGACAATGGTTAAGAGGAAGTAGTGATAATAAAATCTTAAACAACTAATTGATTGGTTCGGTTCCGCGGGGTTTCAGTCCAACTGTTTTCAGTCCTATTTCTCGGATCTCTCTCTTTCGGCGATCGGAGTCGGAGTCGGAGTCGTGACCAACACTTTGTGGTCGGGAATTGGGATCACATGTATAGGTCGTCGTCGTCGTCGTTGTCGACAAAGACTAGGACTTAGAGGAAGACCTGACTATAAGACACTAATAAATAAAATTTAATAAAAAACAAAATTAAAAAAAAAACTATGAAATCAACAGTTAGTTTGTTATGTTATGTTGTGTTGTGTTTTAGTTGACGACATCAGTAAACACGTGACACACATATAATAATACAGTAACACATATAGTTGTAAAACTAGAGATGAAAACTGTTTGCTTTAAAAATATATATAGAAACCCGAATTGATTTTTTTTTTTTTGAAATTATTATTAAATTTTATTAAAGGGGAAAAATATTTAGCATTTATTAGTATTGTTTGTTGTTGTTGTTAGTAAATATAACAAAAATTATTAGAAAAAATCGTTAAAACTAAAGCATTTTGTTTTTTTTTTAAAAAAAACCGAACCGACTTTTTTTTTTATCTACAGTATATGTTTTCAATGTAAACTCTATTTTATATTAACACTGTATTGTACAGTATTTACTGTATATTTATTTAACAAACTTTATAAGTATTCACACATTATTAACATTATTAATAAAGTGTGTGTACTGTACATTATGTGTTTGAAATTACCTAGTACATTAATTCAATTACCGGTAATTATTTTAATTGTATAATTGTATACTATTATAGCTGTGTTTAATTATAATTAAACAATAATTTAAAAATTATAATAAAAAACAATTTTTATTTTATTTATTATTTCCATTAGAAAATTAATAAAACAAATTACTATTAAATTAAACATTAAAATTAAATTATTTAAAATTAATTCAATTAATTATTCTATTATATAATTTGTTTAAAATTATAATTAAAATTATTACAATAATTAAAAAATTATTTAAAAAACAAACATAATTTATTTTTTGATTTAATTTTGATTTAAATTACAAACAAATTACTATTTAATTAAACATTAAATTATAGTTAAAAGACTGTTGAAAACTAAATAAATTTTTTTTAAAAAAATAAATATTTTTTTTCATAATATATTTATTTAAAATTAATTCAATTAATTATTCTATTATATAATTTGTTTAAAATTATAATTAAAATTATTACAATAATTAAAAAATTATTAAAAAAAACAAATATAATTTATTTTTTGATTTAATTTTGATTTAAATTACTAACAAATTACTATTTAATTAAACATTAAATTATAGTTAAAAGACTGTTGAAAACTAAATAATTTTTTTTTTAAAAATAAATATTTTTTTCATAATATATTTTTTTATTTCATAATTATTCAATACTATTATATCTATTCAATGTAATTGATACTTGATAGTTGGCGGCAATTAAATTGGCCAACCCTTGAACGTAGAGTTTAGTATCGGAGCTCACCGTCGGATCATTGGCTACCGATTTGGCCAACTGGTCAAACTCGTGTTCATATTGCCGACAAATTACCAAAGTTTTATCCATTGCCTCCCGTATTGAACATTTCCCGTCCAATACATAGTAGGCAACTATATTGACAAACATCCGATCTAACTGTCCATTTTGATCGTACAGTTCCTTTTCAAACGAATAGACATCGTTGATATAGATAACCGTATAGTTAAACAAATACATCAATCGCTGTAACCTCGGGTCCAGCCATTCCCGCTCAGGTACGCACAGTCCGTCCGAATACTCTAACAGTGCACTAACCGTTTCGTTAGCACCGCTATTCTTACGGTTCTTTATATATATATATATAAATAAAAGATTTTTTAAATAATAAGTAATTTTTATGACTCAAAACATATATACATACACACATATACACACATACATACACTCATACATATACACACACATATATATATACACTCATACATATACACACACATATACATACATACATATACACACATACATATACATATATATATACACACACATACATATACACGCATATATATACGCATACATATACACACATACATATACACACATACATATACACATACTTATACACACATACACACAAACATAAACATACATACATACACACAATAAGCTAATTACATACCTTTTTAATGCTATCAAAGTCGACAAATTTTTGTTCAATAAGTTGATTCTCATAGTCCTGTGCCCGAAGATACCGACGCCAGGAGTCTATAAATCTCAGACGTTGTAAACCAGTCATGTCTTGCATAATGGCTTCGACGGTAGCATAAGTGGACAATACGTACGGTTTCCATGTATTCATTGGTATATAATCGGCTGCCGCTGCGGTATCGGAACCGTTGATGTTGTTGTTGGTAGCGATAGTTTCGGTGCTTTTCATGTCAAACATACGTTCCAATCGGTCGATACACTGTAGATACTGGTCGGCTACTGGCCGGGCCATACGGTTACTGCGGCCAAACTCGCCGTACTCGGTTTCGTTGTGGTCGTCCCAGACAAACAAATAGCCTAACCATTTGACCAAATTGGCGTATCGCGTCCAATCGGTACAACGGGCAAAAAAGTGGGCACCAAACAGGAGCATCGAGTCGGCCACACGGCGCCTGTAGTTGATTTCAGGCAACAGTGCATACTCTGACCACCATTTGGTTAGTTCGGCCGTACGTTTGCTGTCCTCGTTAAACGGATTACATTTAATAGGAAATATTGTCCGAAATTCGGGTATCGGGTATTGACGCTCCCGTTTCTTATCCATATTATTATTATTAGTCACTTATAGTAATTGAAAACAATTAAAATAATATTATTATCTTTAATATACTTATGTTTTTATCTAATGATAATCTATTTTATGATTTTTTATGTTTATTTAATTATTATTATTATTATTATTAATTTACTTACTTTTATCATTAATTTAAGTTTTTTTTGTTGCTGTTAAAACTTAGATTACTTTTTAAAAAAATAAATAAAATTTAACAATATTAAAAATTTTTATTAATTATGAAATTAAAATAAATAAACATTTTATTATACTATACTATTCATACATTTTTTTAAAAAAAATGTGATGTAATTTTCGATATAATAATAAAACATAAAATTTTTCACTTTTAGTATTATTAATATATTTTCATTATTTATATAATAATAATAATTTCAAATTTTCTAACATTTAGATAAATAATTTTTTCTTTTATAATAAAGTTTTTTTTAAAATAATTATTTTATTTTACAAATAAAATTACGTATGAATGACTTTTAATTTTAGATAAATATTTTTTAAAAAAATAACAAAATATTTATCCGACACTTAATATTAAACTTAATCACCAAAAAAAAATATTTAAACAATTTTTATAACAAATATTTGCTTTTTTGGTATTTACAATAATAAATACAATTAAAACAACATTAATTAAAATGATTTTACAAATAAGTCAATAAAAAATTTATTGTTTAAAAACATTTATTAACTTTTATTTTAAAAAGTTTTTTTCTATTAAATATATTAAATTCTTTACAAAAAAACTAATAGTATTTAAACATTATTATAATTAATTAATTTTAATAAACATTTTGTGATTTTAAATATATATATACTTTATTGAATTAATTATAAAAACTATAAAAATTAAAATAATAAAAATTACATATTATTGATTAATTTTTCATCAATATTAATATATTATTTATTTTAATTATAAAACTACAAAATACAAATTACAATTAATATATATAGTATAATATATAATTATTTATTATTATTATAATTAATTAATTTTAAATTATCTAAATATATTATAAAAACTTTACATAAATTCTATTTTAACACAAAATTATTATAATTATTTAATAACAATAATTTTGTGTTAAAAATAGGCAAATAATTTATTGTTTAATATCTATTAATAATTTATTTTTTTAAAAATTAAAATACAGTTAGTTTTTCTATTAATTATTACATATTTATGATTTTTTTTAAATACTACTTTTACTATTTATTTTAAATGCTATTTTTTATTTATAATTTTTTTTAATAAACTTTATTATTATTTCTGTTTTGTTTTTTATCTATAGTTTATTAAATCCATAATATTAATGATTATTATTTACTGTAAAAAATACAAAATATAAATATAAATTTTTGTTGTTATTGTTAATCATTATACTGTTTAATAATATTACTTACAAATTAAATGGATTGATTTTGTTTCTAAAACTTTCCAGATTATCTATATATATAATAATAATATCAATAAATATAGATAAAAATTAACAAAATAAATAAATTAAATCATATTTTTTATAAAAATAATAATAGAATTATTAATTTTTGGTTTAAGAATATACTTCTCTCTCTCTCTCTCTTTCTCTCTCTTTCTCTCTCTCTATCTCTCTCTCTCTCTCTCTCTCTCTCTCTCTCTYTCTCTCTCTTTCTCTCTCTTTCTCTCTCTCTTCTCTCTCTCTCTCTCTCTCTCTCTCTCTCTCTCTCTCTCTCTCTCTCTCTCTCTCTCTCTCTCTCTTCTCTCTCTCTCTCTCTCTCTCTCTCTCTCTCTCTCTCTCTTCTCTCTCTTTCTCTCTCTTTCTCTCTCTTTCTCTCTCTCTTTCTCTCTCTCTCTCTCTCTCTCTCTCTCTCTCTCTCTCTCTCTCTCTCTCTCTCTCTCTCTCTCTCTCTCTCTCTCTCTCTCTCTCTCTCTCTCTGTTTGTTTGTTTGTCTCTTAACTCTCATACCTTTAGAAAAGACATTTTTGACGCCATCGCTGATCGTGTCTTTGACTTCACCGGCGCTATCCTTGAACTCTTCCCAATGATTTGCATGGATCAGCTGATGGCTGACAACTGTAGACATCATAATCAGCACAATAGCTAACAACAGTGTTAACAGTTTAGCCATTGATTTATTGATTTTTTAAAAAAAATTTTGCCGATTTGTTTGAAAATAATATTATAATAATTATTAGTTTTAGTAATATTTCTAAAATACAAGTAAATTATATTAATATATGGATAAAATTGTATTAAAAAATTGTAGTAATAATAGACAATATATTAAATTACATTTTTAATAATTTTGTAACTATGTAACTATGTGTTAATTTGTAATAAAATATTTTATATGTAAAAATTTTTTTTTGTTTAAGTTAACTTATATTAATGTTAATGTAATTCAATGTATATCTATGTTTGTGTAATAATTAAATTTAATAATATATTTACTCTATATTATTTTCAAAAAACATTACAAATTAATTTATATATATATATATTACTAAAAAACTTTACTTTTATTTCAGTAACAAAAAAACTTTAATTAATTATTGACCTTGAACAATGTGCAAATTATTTATATATTAAAGATATATATAATTATTATATAATAATTATATTTATATAACTCTATCTATTACTAAACATAATTATTACAATAACTATTACTTATAATAATTAGGATTTTTTTTACAATACTATTATAAAAGTTGGGTAACAAAGTCTGTACCAAAAAAATATAATATAAATTGTCGTAAAAAACTGATATTTATTATATAAATATATAATTTGATATATATATATACTGTATAAATATATATATATTATATACAGTACAGTATTTTTTAACATACAGTACATATAATACTTAAATATCTATTGTATTGAAATTTATTAGTTGAAAAATAAAAATCTAATAAAACAAAAAACACACACAAAAAATGTCATAAAAACTTTTATTGTTATTATTATTACTTTATAATTATCTATAAAAAAAATTTTTTTTTGTATAAATAGACAATAAATTCTAGTAATTAGATCCTCTTTATTAATTATTTTTAAAAAATTACTTTTAGATTATTTATTAAACAATTTTATTTTTATTAAAAATAATTAACACTACATTTTTTTTACTAAGGTTAACCCACCCCCACCCCCTCAACTAAAAAAATAATTAATTAATTAATTAATAATAATATGGATCTCAATAGAAATTTTTCACGTCTAAAATGGTCGACAATAACATTTAGTTTCATTACAATTATAACCCAGACAATTTTGTTGGCCATTAAAATTGTTAACATATATTTTACAAATTTTTTGAATTTAAATTTAAATAGATCACAATTACAACCTATTGTAAGTATTTAATAATTATTTTTTTAAAAATTATTATTATTATTAAAAAATAAATTAATAAATAAAATTTATAAAATGCACATTTATTATATATATATGATTTTTGTTGTTGTTATAAAAATAAACAATTTTATTAATTAATGAACTTATAATTATAATCTTAATTAAGCTAAAAAATAAACATAAACAATTTAATTATTATTAATATTTATTTATTATTTGTTGTTGTTGTTGTAAAAAATATGAATAAAATTAATTATTTTTATTACAACTAAATTATGCTAAAAAAAACATTATTTTTTTTAAAAAATTAATTATCTAAAATTTTTTTCAAAAAAAAAACAAAAAAAAATTTAGCAAGTTCAATTTGAAATTGTTATCCTGCCTATAAGTTTGGCCTCAATTTTTATACACATGTCGGGCGTATGGGCGGCCAGTGGCCATCGATTTGGTCTATCCATTGCCTACGGGTCGCTATGTTTCCTGTTAACAATGGCCACATTTGCCGTAGCCCGACTTACCGACTACGGTGCCGATTGGCTACTATTGCTATTGAACTTTATTACCGGTTGTCTAGCTTTCGATATGGCCCGCTGGCTACATAAGCTGTACATACAGGAGCACAACACTAGTAGTAGTTACAGTACTACAGGTGCTGTCCATCATCATCAACATCAGTGGTCGTCTACCGTATCGTTTATATCATCGGATCAGCCGCCCAGCTATGATCAGGCAATGGTTGACAGTATTATTAGTACAGGCGATGATAGTACGGGACAGTTGTCTATTGACGGCAACATCACTAACAACAACAGCAACAAACTTGAGGTGCCGTTAGTCGATAGTGTTGTTGTCTTTGATGACAACCACCAGTTGTTTAGCGGTGATAGTCGTCCACCGAGTTATTCATTTTGCCATAAAAATTGTTTATGCAATTACTGTATAGTAATAAATAAATAATTTATTTATTTATTTATTAAAATATATATAAAAAAATGTAAATAATTATATTAAATATGATTTAAAATAAATATGTTAAATATTTTTTTGTTGTTTAACTATTTTTGTTTTATTTTGATTAAGTTATTATTATTATTATTATTATTTAAAAAAAGTTATATATGAATTAAAATAATAATTGTAATAATAGTTAATTTTCTCAAAAAAATAATAATAAAGTAATTTATTTTATTTTTTTAAAGTTATTATATTTATAATAAAATATTTATGTTTATCTAATAACTAATGATAATAATAATTAATAACAATAAATATAACTTTTATAACTACAATATATTAAGTAATTATGTTTATTTTTTTGTCCTAATTTTTTTTATCAATAAAAATAAATAATTAAAAAAACATTAATAAAAACAATTAATTTATTTTATTTTAAAATTTTTGAATGTGTTTTTTTCTATTAAATAAATTCACATATAAATTTATTTTTATTTTTATTTATTTAAATAAACATTTATTTTTAAAAATATACTATATATATATTTAATAATAAATGTTTTTAATTAATAAATTAAATTAATAATATTTGTTAATTATTATAATTAATAAATTACAGATTAATTTTTAACATACATATTAATATAACATAATTTATATGGCATTTTGTATTGATATAATTCAAACATTTTTTTAAAAAATAATTTATATCTTAGATACAGTATATACTGTATAAATTATATAAATTGTTGAATTTAATTATTATTATTATTATTATTTAGCCAGTCATACCAATATTGAAAATACTTCTAGTATCATCATAATTTCCAGCTTTAACTGTGCCTGATACTTTTATATATATATATAAAAAACAAAATTATTAAATTTAATAAAAAATAAAATAATTAAAAAGTAAAATGTTTACAACAATAACTTACTGGTAGTAATGATTAGTATGACTATTGAAACAAATATAACAACAAATCGATTCATTGTTTTTATTTTTATTTATATTTCTCAGTTATAATGTATATAATTATAAAGATTTTATTTTATTTTTAAAAAATGTAAAGTTTTTCTTAATGTTTAATAAAATTAAATGACAATTTTGTTGTTTGTGTTATTGAAAACTGATTATGAAATTAATTATAATTATTTTTAATTATAAACTTATTGATTGACGCAAATTGTATATGAATTTATTTAATTAATTAAATTTTTATTTTTTTATATTTCCTGTAGTTATAATTTTTTTTTAACTTTTATTATATTTGAATCATTATATGAATATTTAAAAAAAAATTGTTTATAAGTCTAAACTTTGAGAGAGAGAGAGAGAGAGAGAGAGAGAAATAAGTTTATGAAACTATTTGTTAGATAAAAATACATACAATATATGTCTTGATTGTTAATATACTAATAAACTGTATTTATAATTATAATAATAATTTGCTTATAAAAACTTAATCTAAAAATGATTATAATTTTTTTAAAGATAATAATTTAAATAATTTATTAAAGATTTTAAATATATATTTATTTATTTATTAATGAAAAACAATTTAATTTATTAAATACTTAATAGTTTATAATTAATAATATTTTATATATATTTAATACTTTCTAATAAAATTAATACAATATCATATAGATATAAAAAAAACTCAAATTGCGTCAATTAATTCAATTTCAATCAAACGTGTAATATATATATAACTATATATTACAGGTTTTGATTTGAAATTGAATTAATTGACGCAATTTGAGTTTTTATATAACTTTTTATATATTATATATATTTTTATGTAAAATCAAATTATTATTATTTTTTATTGAAAGATGTTTTGTTTGAAATTATAATTGATATAAATATAATTTACTATAAAATAAATCACAAGTATTACAACATAATATTATATATATATATAATATTAATAGATTAAAATATTGCATATATATATATATTTATTTATAATACTTAAAAATCTATAATTTTTTTCTTATCTAATTAGTATTAATCAATATTTTATTATTATTATAATATGTATAGCACTTTGTATAGATATGTTAAAAAATTTTTTTATACATATATACAGTATTATATTTATATGTTTGTTGATAATAAAAATAATAATATATTTCCTACGTTTTGACAAAATTAAAATATTTATTTAGATAATTACTAAATATTAATAAATTAGTTTAAAAATTTATTTTTTAACAATTTATGATTATTTATTTTATTTTTTGTATTAATAAATTGTTGTTTTGAATCAAACAAATATATACAAGTTTACAGTTTTTATATATATATAATGAAATTATTAATTAAAATATTTTAATAAATTAATTGAAAAATTATTGTTAAATAATATATATGCCTATAAACATAAATTAAAATATTTATTTTTTCTTATTTAAAAAAACCCAATATTATTAATTAATCTTATTTTTTGTATTTATTTTTGTATTATTGACTTCTAAATGTAAAATTTAGATTCATTAATATACTAATTTATATACATACTAGTAATACTATATTTAAAGAAAAAAAATATATTTATCTATAGATTACAGGTATTTATTTTGCAATATATGATATATATATATATATATATATATATATATATATATATATATATACAATAAGATTGTGATTAATAATTTATGAGCCCTTAAAGTTGCCAACAAATCATAAATTAAATATATTTATATATTTATTTATAACATATTTCTATTATATTTATACTATACACTGTATGCTATTAATGACCATGGTTATAATTAATTTTGTCTAAATTTTCATTATTTAAATTATTATTATTATTTAGTTAACTTATTAATTATTAATACTATATAATTGACATTATTTTAATTTACTATATATAATATATATAATATTAGTTAATTATTTTAATAGTAAATTAATTTATTTATTAGACCTATAATGTCTATACTTATACATATATATATTGTTGACACACCCATACATGCATTATATTCAATAACTAATAGATAAGTTTGAAATTATTTAATTAATAAATATTAGTATGATATAAATATATAGTATTTTTGTTTCTGTTTAAACAAAAAAATATTAATTAAATTATAATTTTTATTTTGTAATTTAATATATAATATATGTATTATAATAATAATAATAGTATTAATAGAAAATTAAATCACAATTAAATTTTGTTTTATTTTTGTTTTGTTTTATAAGTATTAAATACTTTATAATAATATATTATACTGTATTATAAATTATGTTTTAATACATTATTAAATCATTAATAAATCCAATAAAAAATAATAAAATAAATTAAACATTAATTGTTATTTTTAAAAAAATACTATAAATTATTTCCATTGAGTTTGTTGGCCACCACCACCACCACCACCACCCGGTGCTTGATTGTTGGCCGTATAGGAAACGTTAGTTTGTTGGTGTTGGGGTACGACAAATGTTGCCGGCTGTCCGCTAGTGGTCATAATAACCGTAGTCTGAGGTCCCGGGAATTGCATTGATCGTAGATCGCGGGCATACAAATAGGCCAGACATACGATGAATATATTCAATACAAACGTAAACCAAAAGGCCGGTGCTGTGGCCACAAACACTACGACTATCATCAGTACGGTTAGGACAGTCATTGTGATGGCATAGCCCAGTGTCATACAGTAGTGTTCCTTTAGGGCACCCATCAGTCCCATCAAATTGATTAACATATTTATGGATCCGATACCGGCTGTTATACCGATAGCCACTTTCTGTTAAGTGGTATAGGTGTGTGAGTGGGTGTGGGTGTGGGTGTGTGGGGCAGTTGGTAGGGGGCGAGGGGTAGGTAAAAAAATTAATTAATTAAATTGTTATCATATATATATTGTAATTTATCAAGATAATTTTTTGTTTGTTTGAAAATAATAATCATAATCATAATAATACTATTAAATATAATTAGTTATGTTTTTAAATACTAAAATTAAATACTATAGTTTTTAATTAAATAATTAATTAATTAATTAAATTGTAATCACATATATTGTAATTTATCAAGATAATTTTGTTTGTTTGAAAATAATAATCATAATAATAATAATCATAATAATACTACACTAAATATAATAGTTGTTTTTTTTAAACTAAAATTAAATATTATAGCTTTTATTAATTAATTAATTATTATTAAGTTAAATAAATAATTTTAATTTTTAATTTTTTAAATAATTTTTTAAATTATAAATATAATAACTAACCCCAACTTTATCGGCTGTATCGTCATTAGCTATACTTGTTATTTGGCTAAATGCTACACACATAATAATAACAATGATCAGGGTACTTATAAAATTTAGCAAACAAAACGAAAATAGTGTCCACTTTTTGCATTGAAACGTAAAAAACGGGTTGTTATCCATTGTTGGTGTAGTAGTAGTAGTAGTAGTTGGATATGTCGATGACTGTATACTGTATTTACAAAATACTACCTTTAATTAGCAATTAATTTTTTTAATTTTAAAAAAAAATATTAATTGATATTTCAAATAAAAATTTAATTAATCCAGGTAGTTTTTTATTATTATTATAATTATTAATTTTTTTACTAATTAATCCTACTATTAACTGGTTGTAAATATTTATTAAATTATTAATATTATAATTATTAAATAATAGATATTTTTTTTTGTTATATTCTACTGAAACTAATCTTACAGTTGAATAAAACCACTTGAATAAAATTGTTTGAATAAATTTTTTTTTATTTTAAATATTTTATATACAGTATATATACTGTATATATATAACTACAGTATCCCAGACCCTAATAATTATTGAATCAATTTTGTTGTTGTTATCAAAAAAAAAAAATTATTGTTATCATTGATATAATATATATATATATATATATTATATTCAATAGTATTTCCAACAATTTATATAGATTTGTGAAATTTTTATTTTATATATATATATATATACAGTATTAATACTCTATTAAAAAAGCCTACACTTGAATTATGTTTGATAATAATAATAATATATTTTATTACACTGGTATTAGCTAGTTCCTATGAAATATTTTTTTATTAAAAAAAAGATAAAACAATTTTGTTTACATTAATAATAGGTAATCGCATTATATATATATATATATATATATAATGTATATAATATATATAATGTATATATATATATATATTATTTATTAAATGCGACGACAAAAAAATTATTAAAGTATATTTTGTAACACATTTTTTGTTATATTAATTTAATTATAATCTATTGTAATCTAACAAAAAAAATCATAGCATTTACGTATATATATATATACTGTATATATAAATATTTGTCATATTATATTATTTTTTTAATTGTTATTACATTGAAAAATTGTAAGTTTTTATTGTTATAGTTGATTGTAATTTTTATTTGATATTTATCATACAATAATTTTTTTGTCTAAAGTTTTCTATGCAATAATTTATATTATTTTTATTTTATTTTTTTAAAAAAAATATAATATAGATATAAAATTTATAAATTAATAAAACTATATTAATATTAATAATTTTATACATATGTTAATATTGTGATTATTTATCAATTGATAATATTATTATTATTTGAGTGCCTTATTATTAAACACAGGTATTCAAGCACCTGTACTATCGTTTTGCTAACAAATTTAATATATATATATATATATTAATATTAATATTTTTCAAACAATGATAACAAGCAATTATAAAACAAATAATAATTTCAATATCCTCTTCAAAAAATAAAATAAAAAATAAAATAAATTATATTATATTATATTCATGTTTCATGTTAAATATATACTTGAATTTAATAAACTTATATAAAATAAGATAATATAAATGTTTAGTTAACTGATATTTAAAAATTTTTATTACTATAGAAAATTATTGTAATCAAATATGTTATTAAGCAAACAAATAATAGCTGATTATAAAAAATAAAAGTTAAATATATTTCATACAAAAAAATCATAGAAAAGTTTATTTGAAAATTATTTTATATTTATATTTAACTGATTGTAAACTGATTAATATTATCAGTTAAATTGATATATTATTTATTAATATTGATTTTATATATATAATACTGTAAATTATAGTATATATATATACAGTATATATATATTGTTTAATTTTTTTATTAAATGCTAAAAAAGTGTTTTTTTTGTAATACTAGTAATTACATCACAATTAATATTTATTATAATTTTTTGAATTTAATAATTTAGTTAAAAAATAATTATTTAACTATTAGTAGTTAACATAAAACATAATTATTAATTTAATTTAAATAAAAATAAATAATTTTTATTATTACTATTATTACTCATACATTAAATAAATATATATTATAAATATCATAATAAAACAAATTTAAAAAAAATTATATAATAGTTATAATGATAACAATTATCTTTTTTTTAAAAAAAACAATGCAATAAAAAACAATAATTTTAATATACAGTATTATTATTTTTTAATTTTAATTAATTTTTTAAAAATATACATTTTTCTGGCGCCCACCTAACCCATACACTATTTTTTTTTTCTAGGCATACGAACCGTGCGTACCGTAACCCTGGCGTAGGTCACGGGCCAACAAATAGGCCAATATTGTGATGAGTATATTAAGTACAAACGTAAACCAAAAGGCGCCCGAACCGCGTGCGGCCGGCAATATCATCAGCAATGTTACGATTGTCATAATTATGGCATAGGTTAGGGTTAGACAGTAGCTCTCCCGTAGGGCACCGCACAGTCCAAACAATTGGACAATAATACTAATGGTACCGATCGAGGCTATGATAGCGATGGCCACTCTCTATGAAGATATGGTTAGGTTAGGTATTAGGTATTAGTTTTGAGACAATTAGTTAATTTTTAATAGACAATCAATTGGACAGTTAGTTTGCTTTTGTTGTTGTTATTGTTGAAAAGTTAGTCTACTTATAGGTCATATTTTTTAAATAAAATTTTGTTTTAAATATCATATTGTATTAAAACATTTTAAAATCAATTATTGTAAACATTATGTACTAAAAAAACTTATGTGACTTATTATAGCTACAATAATTATAGTGAAAAATATTAGTGTGTGTGTGTGTGTGTGTGTGTGTGTGTGTGTATGTGTGTATGTATGTATGTATGTGTGTGGTGTGTGTGTGTTTGTGTGTGTGTGTGTGTGTATGTATGTGTGTGGTGTGTGTGTGTGTGTGTGTGTGTGTGTATCTGACCAGATAGCTGTGTTGGGACAGTTAGATTGTTATATATTTATACAGTATATTTATGTCATACCTTTCCAGCCTTAAGATCCTGGTCTTTGATGCCATCCATGTGATCGGTTTTATTGATCTGTACGGATGCGGCAATTATGATAATCAACGTACTGACCACACCCAACAAACACAGTGTAAACAGTGTCCACTTTTTGCACCCGAACCCGAACAGGTCGTTGTCACTCATATTGATTGTTGTTTTTAAGTTGTTTTCAATTTATTTTTTTTTAAATTTCAATGTAAAAATCAAATAAAATGAAAAGTTTGAAATTTAAATAGCAATTTAATTGTATGTATATATGATTGTATATATGTGTGTGTGTAGCTCAGGGATACATGATATCTATATTTACGGTTTTTTACCTTTAAATCATAGGTAGACACCATATATATATACTGTATATCATCCGATAGATGCAATCAATTGCTCGCTTTGGTAGTTAACCTACCGGTGTATGTGTTTGTTTTGTATATGATATGTTTGCCGCTCAGGTATGCAATAAATTAACTGATTTATCTGTCTGTCTGTGTGTGTGTGTGTGTGTGTGTATAGTTAATTATAATAATAAGTGATTGTATTGATTAGCAACCGGTGGTTGTATAAGTTTTTTTTTATAGTTTTGTTACCTAAAAAATAATGGGATGGCATATAAATATCTACCTGTGCTTACACTAATGTACTGTAATTGATTTTTATTAGTTTATATAAAACAAAAATTATAGATAAAATTAGTTAATTTTTAATAATAAACTTTATTTATTTAAAAACATAATTATCATATTTTTATAATAATATAAATAATAGATAATATTAAACATTGATTTAAACAAAATCGTATTATTTTTATTATTATTACAAAAACAAAATGTAATTTTTAAAAATAATAATAATTATTATTATTTATTTTGATATATAATATTTTTCTTAATATTCAATAACTATTTATTTGTAATTTTTTTGTTGTTGAATATATACTGTATATAATACAAAATTTATTGCAATTGATTCAATTGATGTCAATATTTATGTATTTTATATTAACACATGTTATACTATATAAAAAAAATTTACAATAATTTATCAAATAATTAGTATATAATTGTTTTGTTTTTGTTTTTATGAAATTTTAGTTAATTAACAAAAAATAAAAACAAAACAAAAAACATAATTAAAATATTTTTAATTGATTTTTTGCTTTTTATTATAATTAACAATAATTGTTACACATTTTGTACATAATTTTATTTTGTTACTATAAATACCATTAAATTATATTAATGAAATAATCAATAATATTAATAAAATAATAAATTTATATATAATATTTTTTTTTGTTAAACAACTTATTATTCTAGAAAATAGTTAATAGTTTATGTAGCAAAAAATATATATATATATTAATATGTTTTTTGAAAAACTTATGTAAACTAATTGTGTTTAATAATAATAATAATAATAGTTTTAATTAATTTAGTGTAAATTTTATTTGCATTAGACTATACAATAGTTTCAAAACATAGTTTTATATAAAATTAAAAAAAAAAACATTTGTGTTTAATGATTATTGTATATAATTTTCAGCATTGATACTATCAATATAATAGTTGCATGTTTTTGCACTGGTATGTAAGGTATGTAACATTTTTTAATTAGTTATTTAATTATAATATAATATAGAGTATACTGTAATATATATACTATACATATATACATATTCATAGCTGTTTAGTATATTTTATTCATATAAATACAATTTAAAATAATAATTGTTTTTAACAAAATTAATATATTTAATACTTAGCTTTTTATTTATTTAATAAATAATATCATATATCTATACAGTATAGTATTTCTATATAAATTATAATTCATAATTGCATAAATAATTAATAAATATCATAATTTAAAATATTTTATTAAAAAAATTTATTATTTACACATTGATATCAATTTTAAATAATTATTTCATAGATTTTCATTGAACTATGTAAATAGTTACTATAATTACTACTTTAAATAAATAAATATATTATTATATATATAGACATTTATTATTGTTTATTAATAAATTTAACATAACATAAACTTGATCAATTTAATTATACTATATTTATATTATAATATACTAATATTTTTAGAAAAAACAAAAATTATTATTAAATTTTTATGAGAAATAACTTTTATCTCTCTCTCTCTCTCTCTGTATCTATCTCTCTCTCTCTCTGTTTGAAATATTGAGTTTAAGTTGTGACCAAAAACAATACTAAATATTTTATGAATTTTACAATTAATTATTTTTAAAAAAAAATTATTAGTTATTATTTTTATAATAAATAATTATTTTTTTTCATTAATATTACGTAAATTTTATGTTATAAATGCAAAATATTATATAAATTTTTTTTAAATATATAAAATACAAAATTTATTTCATTGATTATTATGATTAATATTTATAAACTCTATAGACTCTATAGTCTAGTATTAATATAAAAAATACAATAATTTATCAAATAATTAATATAATAATATTATTTATTTTTGTTTTAACAATAAAAAAAACTAATATATTTATTATTGTTTGAACAGCTTTTTTGTTTCAATTTTATTTTAGTACTATAAATATGACGTTAAATGATATAATTATTAATAATTTAAAAAAATCAATAAAATATATTAATAAAACTTAATAAATTTACATATATTTTTGTTTTTGTTGTTTATGTTAAACAGTTTTATATAATGTAGAAAATAGTCAATTATTAATTTTATTTAATATTATAATTAGATAATCAATACTCAAATTTTTATTACATGTTTTATTGTGTTAAATAATAATATTTTATTTTCTCAGTTTAAAATATTTATAATAATTAATCAAATGGCCTATTATTTATATAAATAAATATTTTATTTTTTGAAACCTTTAATTATTGATAATTATTATACAGTAGATATTATTATAGGATAGTAGTAAATAAAATATTTATTGAATAAATTAATATATTATTGATACAAACAATTTTAATTATTTATAAATTATTAATTTATTAATAAAAAAAATCACATTTTTCTATAGTCATTAATATCACAATTGAATATTTGTCTACAAATACTGCAGTCAATAATCTAATTAATAAAATAAATAATTTTTACATTGATCTTAATTTTTGCTTATATAAGCAATTTTTTTTAACTGATATTATATATGATAAATAATAAAAAAAATGTTATTAACTTAGGTGTCAATACTTTTGTTAGATTTATAAGTCAAATATCTTAATTATTTGACAATAAATATGTAATAAATAATACGAAAAAAACAATAAATTATTTGCAAATATATTGTAAATATTTAATATTGTTTTTTATGTTTATAAATTATTATTTATTGTAAAAAAAATTTAATACAACCATGATAATAATGTATTTTTTTTATTGTACTATTAATATAATAATAATATTATATGTAATTTTAGAGAAAACATAAATTATTAACAATTTTTTTGTGAATCTCTGTCTCTCTCTCTCTGTCTCTCTCTCTCTGTCTCTCTCTCTCTCTGTCTCTCTCTCTCTCTCTGTCTCTCTCTCTCTGTCTCTCTCTCTCTCTCTCTCTGTCTCTCTCTTTCTCTCTCTCTCTCTGTCTCTCTCTCTCTCTCTCTCTCTCTGTCTCTCTCTCTCTCTGTCTCTCTCTCTCTGTCTCTCTCTCTGTGTCTCTCTCTCTGTGTCTCTCTCTCTGTCTCTCTCTCTCTCTGTCTCTCTCTCTCTGTCTCTCTCTCTGTSTCTCTCTCTCTGTGTCTCTCTCTCTGTCTCTCTCTCTGTCTCTCTCTCTCTGTCTCTCTCTCTCTGTCTCTCTCTCTCTCTCTGTCTCTCTCTCTCTGTCTCTCTCTCTCTCTGTCTCTCTCTCTCTGTCTCTCTCTCTCTGTCTCTCTCTCTCTGTCTCTCTCTCTCTCTCTCTCTCTCTCTCTCTCTCTCTCTGTCTCTCTGTCTCTCTCTCTGTCTCTCTCTCTCTCTGCCTCTCTCTCTCTGTCTTTCTCTCTCTGTCTCTCTCTCTCTGTCTCTCTCTCTCTGTCTCTCTCTTTGTTTGATTGTGTTTGAAATATTAAGTTTGAATTGAGACCATAAAAAGCTGTTAAATATTTTATGAATTTTAAAATTTAATAATTTTTTTTCAAAAAATATTTTATTTTTATTTGATTTTATTAATATTACTTAAATGTTATTTAGATTATAATTTTCAATATATATATATATAAATAAATACAAAGATTATTGTATTGATTAATACAGTATGTCATTGTTTAACAAACTTTATGAAACCCCATTGTATTAATATAATATAATAATTACAATAATTATTTTGTTTTTGTTGTTTTAAAAAATTATAGTAAATAAAAACAACAAAAACATAACTAATTTATTATTAATTGATTTTTTTAAAATAAAATTATTATAATTAAACAATAATAATTTCAACAGCTTTTGTTATAATTTTATTTAATACTATAAATATGACATTAAATAATATAATTATTAATATGAAAATAATATCAATAATGTATTAATAAAATAATAAATAATTTATTAAATTGTATTAAGAGTTCGTACAACTTTCCAAATGATGGAAAGTTCCCTAAAAAAATCAATTTTCTATAATCTAAAACATTTTTTTCACATTCATATGCTTTTTAATATATATATATATATATATTAACAATAAATAATACAATAACTTATTTATTATTATTTTTTTTTTAATTAAAATTATTGATTTATTTAAAAATATATTTGATGTCAATGTATTTAGATATGTTTTTTTCAAACAATTATAATGTCATATAATAATAATAATAATATCTAACTTATAGTTTAGAAACTAATTAATTTAGTTAACAATAACAAGTTAAATAAAATTATGTTTGATATAAATATTTTATTATATGTTAATTATGAACTTAAATTATACAATATTTATAATACAGTTATTATATTCATTAAACATTTTATAACTAACTAATAATTATCATATTATCTGAATTAATATAATTAAGAAATTAGTTTTTTATTGATATGAAATTAAATAATAAATATTATCAACAAAATAAATACAAAAAATATTTTATAACTAATTGTAACAACAAGTAAACTGCAGGACTAGTAAACTAACTATAAATTTAAAAATTTATTCAATAAATTAATATATTATTAATACAAAATTATTTTAATTATTTATAATTATTATTAAACTTAATTTGCTTTGCTAATTTACATTGCTAACTTATTTTATTAAAATTATGCTAATTTAGCAATTAATTAGTTTAATTGTTTTGATTTTTAGTAAACTTATTTTTTTTAATATGAAATTATATGTTATTTTATGATTTAATATTAATAATTTTATAATTA